TGTCAAGAACCAAATCATGAAAATCAAATCGAAAAACTAAATATATCCTACACTGTAGTTATCGATCGTTTCCCTAAAAAATATATTTACTGGCAAAATGTACAACAAGAGATTTTGCGAGAACATTACAAAAAGACATTTGATACAATTCTTGCATGGAATGAAGGTGTAGAAAGATCTCAAGTTGATTCTGAAATACAATCTGATATAGCATGTGACGACGATAAAGATAATCAAATTATGTCGTAAGTGATCAAATTTTGGGTTATTTTAGTTTAATAGAATACTTTTCATTCGATCATCCAGTCTTAGTGAGCTCCAAGAAGCACATGATCAAAAGCATTATGATGAAGATATAGGAGAAAAGCCGATATTGTTCAAAACACTCTCGAAAGATCTTAATACAATTCAGAAAGAGATTTTACGCAAAGAATACGATCAACAAGGTAATAAGAAATTTAATTATTATTGAAATTTGTTCTTTTTTTTTTATATCAGTTAAAATATTTAACACAAAAATGCAACAAATACGTAATGCCATTCAATTGGATAGTTATTTGTTAAAAGAATCAGTTACTTCTACAGATTTATTGTTGAATAAAGTTTCTTCTAATAAAGCACCATTATTTAATCATTCCGGGTTTTTTTATGATATGAAAGCAGAAAATTTTGGCGCCGAGAAGGTTAAACATATTTCATATGAATAGAACTTGACAAAGAATATATATATGTTTATTTTGTAAAGGGTACACCGCCTGTATGTCTTGTTTGTTATAAAAGCACTCATGTTAAATCCGATTGTCCTGAATTGTCTCTCCCAAAGCTGATTGATTTGCCATCAGTTAGTAAAAACTGGATTAATATCATTTCAAATATTTGTGGACGAGTTATGGGTATATGTGTTGATATTCATTTTATATTCTTCTTAATTGTATTTATGTTTCCAGATCAATGTAAACTGAGCGAAGAAGATATTGAAAAGCGAGACAAAATTTTAAACTATTTACAAAAGGAATTTGAAAAATGCTATCCGTTATGTAGTGTTCATGGAAGTGGATCAGCTTATAATGGTTTTGGATTTCGACAAAGTGATCTGGATGTTTGTGTTTTATTAAAAGATCAGGTCTGCTTTTTGTTATTTTAATAGTTGCTGATTCAATTTTAATTATAGACTGAAGAATTGAATATTATTATTTTGGAAAAATTATTTCGAATTATCCAATCAGAACCTCAAAAATTCAGAGATATTGAATTAGTACGTGATGCTAGAGTTCCTATTATTCGATGCATAGACAATCAATTTAATATTGAAGTTGATCTTAGTGTTAATAATGCTCTTGTACGTCTTTTGTGCTCTCTGTTATCAGTTATGCTTTTGTCTTAATTTAGGCGCTTGAAAATACTCGATTATTAAAGACCTATACAGAAATTGATTCTCGTGTGTCTCAATTAGGATATATGCTCAAACATTTAGTTAAGGTACGAAAAGTAACTATAAGTATCGATAACACATCGCTTGTATATGTTAGATATGTGATATTGGCGATGCAAGTAAAGGAACATTATCAAGCTATGCATATATTAATATGGTGATACATTTTCTTCAACAAATTCAACCACCTGTTCTTCCGATTCTTCAACAAGTTGATTGTTTGATAAATACTATAACAATGATTAATTTAGGAAATTTTAGTTAAATGACGATCCGTCGAATAAGAATGATATGATTCGTCAATGTATGGAGTCGAATGTATATTTCTATGATAATTTACCTAAACTAGTATGTTTATTGTTTATTTATTTTTTTGTTTTTTATTATTATTTTTTTTTCAGGGAGAAGTTTGGGTAAATAAAAATGGACCGAATACATTGACAGCAGGTGAATTATGGATTGAGTTTTTACGTTATTATACCGAACAGTTCGATTATGAAAAGAATGTTGTCACTATTCGACAATTTGAGCCATTAGAGCGTTACGAGAAAGGATGGTTTAACAAAACAATTGCTATCGAAGATCCTTTTAATTTAACGCATAATTTAGCGGATAAATTATCTCAAAAGAGTAAATATTTCTTCCAACGAAAAAATTATTTCCATATGTTTAAAATAGATTGGACACTTATTCGCCTTGTTTTTATCCAAGCTCGACAACGATTTGGTACAGAATGCAAAGATCGTGTTATACAAGATTCTGATATCGACTGGATTCAGGTTAAACATAATTTACAGATGTATTATAGGATAGAAAGACTCTTTACTTTTAGGATTATCTTTTCGATCGAAACGTTTTACTCTTGGAAAATCCAAGAAAATTAGATAAAACCAATAGACAAACAGCTGAACCACTTCAATCTCTAATGGGAATTCGTGTTGATCCAAAATATTATCAATCCTAATCAATAGGACTACTGGAAGAAACACTAAGTTATATTTAAATTAATAGTGATTGAAGTTAAATATAAGATAGAATATCGTGATTTTCAGCGAGATAATGATTTTAACAGGTAAATTTAAAAAAGTTAAAATTTCATCTATTTTTATCTTGTTGAATATTGCCTTCGTAAACGATATTCGATACGCATTTCATTCTATAATAAGGTATAGTTGTGTGGTAAAAGGTTTTGTTCTCGAGGTAGATAGTATTGTCTGAGAAGGAAAAGTGTACTGCCCAAAACACAGAGTACAAGAACAGTAACTAGCATAATATACGCATTTAATTTTGTTGGTTTATGCCATTGATAACCCCACGAACCATCCGCAGGGTAATCATGATGTCGATAGCATGAATATATTTGATTAATCTAGATTTTTTCGAAAAAAAAGCATGAATAATGAAAACGATTTGAAACAAATATGAACGCTCTTACCTTTTTCTTTTTGGCAACTCTTTGAGCCCATGACTTTGAACTATACAAAACTTGCGATACTACTGTCCGATCAATTTCTGTTATTTCAACATTCTCCTCATCTAGAGTAGTAATCTTCCAAATTGGTCTCCAGAAACGATTTCGTAATGGACCGTCTACTCCCACAGAGATAACTCGACAACGACGTTTGACACATGTCTTCGCTTGTCGTATTTCATTAATTCCAAATATTAATGGGAATAATGCAAAAAAAAATGAGAGTACAATGATCGTCACAACCAATGAGCCATTCTTATTAGATCCATCTTCCGTTAAAAATGTTTTAAATGATAACCACGACATGCGCAGTTGTTTTATTTATACCTCGATAATAAATAAATAAATAGATTGAAGATAAGAACATGGTTTTCTATATATACCAAACAGAAAAGAGAAAAATGGTCGTATATCTATTAGGTGTGGGTGTCACTATTTTATCAAACTCAAGGTAGTTTGTTTTCAAGGACTTTTCATATTGAATTGTAATATTTATTGTTTAAGACTAAGAAAAAAAGCCAGTTATATTACTACTATTATATCAATGACTAATGTTCGTTGGATAAACACGAAAGCGTATATGCCATTAGGAGAACATATAACACAAAAGGAAAATAAGAACTATCTTTCTAAAAGAATCGGAATAAAAGAAAGGCAGTCTCAAGAACTGAAAGAAAATCATGGATATGCTCAAAATCACTAAAAAAGACAAGACAAAACAAATTACGCTATGTGCATCCTTTAAAAAAAATATCTATATATCTTCTTCACATAAGAAAGCAATTGTTCTTTGCTTATACTCATCCACATCTTACTAGATGGAGTGATTTAATTGTTTATATACTAACAAAAAAGCACAATTGAAATGTTTATCTTTATACGTACTGGATAAAATTTAATAAACATCTATAGAAGCACATCATTACAAATTGTGTTATCTTTCTGGAAATCACCCCAAAAGCGTTGTTACCTTACTTTGAGTATTATAAACGTGCTTTCTTCTTAATTCATTTTTGTATACATAAACATCTGTTTGGAATATTTTAGTCCGTTGTGTAAATTATCTTATTTTATGAACACCATTATCATCTAAGATGCTTTTGTATTCTCCAATTGCTTATTTTATTCTCTTTTCAATAAAAGATGGCACCAGCTCACAACCATCATCTTTTTCTATCTACTGAAGTTATAGTATATCAAATATATTTATAAAAATATCCTTAAACATAATATCTTTCTTCTAACAATTATTCAACAATGACAAACATCTTGGAGTTGTGAATATTAATAGTGTTATACGCATCGTAGCTGAAAGTAGTTGATGATTGAAACATTCATATTCTTCTACAAATACATCCTCTCTATCACATTTTGTCAACTGTAGTAATAGCATAAGTTCTGCCTTTTTCATGTCAATCATTGGTATGCTCTAAATTAGAAGAACGTAAAAAATAATAATACATAAAAAAGACACATTTGTCGTTCTATACAACGCAATTCTTTTTATTCTTTAAATAAGTCAATATTAAATTTTAAAAAAAAGTGAAGAAGTATGGAGAACATTCTTTTTTTCTGTTCTTCACAAAATAAATACAACGTCAATTCTTTTGTTCTATCTGAACTCCCTTTCATACATACATTGTGTGATTTGATCTACGCAAAAACTGAGTTCCGTTGTATAAAATGTTTTTGCATTATTCTGATAATGCGTATTTCTATCAATTTAGTTTTTGCGTATTTGATGAAGTATATATACGAAATGCAAAACGTTGAACAGCATAACAATTTTCTCAACATAATAAAACTTAATAATTTACACATTTTGTTTAAATCTACTGAATTAAATTGACAAACAATGTCATCAAATCAAAATCAACAAGCTGGTCAACAATGGAGCAACCAGCAACAACGACAACAAGATCGTCAAGATCTAAATCGTCAACAAAACCAACAAAATAACCAAAGTTTAAATGCACAACGACAACAACAACAAAATCAACAAGCTGATCAACAAATAAATAACCAGCAACAACAACAAGGTCAACAAAGTAACTGTGCTCAACAATTTAAACAAGCTGGTCAAATTGGAAATGCACAACAACAACAAAATCCTCGACTCATTCACTAAATTAATAATTTTATAACCTGATAAAAGACAGTCATTTTGTATATTTTTCTGTAATATTGCTGTTTTTGTGTATTTTTCATAGTTTTTAGAAATTTGTGTGCATTAATTTGAAATAAAATAAGCGAGAATGAAAACAATGTAAAATTATGTAGTTATATGGAGAGTGACAGAGTTAAATATGATCACGAGACGTATCTGAAAAAAAATATTATTATAAATTTTTGAGGTTAATTATAGTCGTTTGTACAGGAGAAATATCACCCAAAAATATCGAGAATTGGACACTTAAACATTTTTTTTCTGTTTATAAGCACAAGGAATTTCTAATAAACAAAACGATACTTGTTTCATATTTAGTTACTTTATTTTTCAGTATCGTTATTTATTACTTTACCTTTATTACAAGTCATGTTTTACTCTACAATTTTTTTTTTATTTTCAGTTATAACATTCATACCATTAGTAAAGTCATATTTCTGTAAGGAGGTTGTGAATTAATTAATCTCAAATAATATAACAAATTTTACATGTTAATTAAAAAATGGATCTCATACCAATCAATAAGGAAATATCTTCAAAGGATTGAAGTTCAAGATCAATTTCAAGTAGAGCAAAATGTGTTAAAAAAGCTGAACATCGCACAATCTTGTTGGTGCAATTTGAAATGGAGTATATATTTATATAATTTTGACGTATTATATTATATTATGAAGGTCGAGCACATAAAAGAGAACATTGATTTCTTGAATAACTAACTATTTTATTCTGAAATAGGCGAATAAAATTAAAAAAAATCGTGAGTATTAAAAGGTGATATATCTTTCTTTAACAATGCATATAATATTAATATAAATAACTATTGATATTATTGCATTTAATACTCAAACATCGAATAGTGTTCATTTTAAAAACGTCCATAAAAATGCCATTACCACATAGTACATTTTTTCACTCGACTGTTTCCTTGACCTGGTTTACAATTGAATGCTCGATCAGATTCAACAGAATTTGATGTAGGACCATTGACTCTATAAAATAAATAGATATATATATATATATAAATTAAGTTTATTAATAATGTAAACATTTGTACCTAAATTGTCCTAATGAATGATCATTGGATTCAACACGACCACGTGCAGATGAATCAGTCATTTTTTCACACCATATATGTGCATAATTAATGAAAAACATTTGTGTAGGTGAATACTTTGAAAGACCTGGAAGTCTTTTATCAGCATTTGGATTAGCTTGTATGGATTTTTGATAAGCCTTTAGAGTAAAATAAAATAGAAATATATCTTTTCAACTATATACAATTAAATTGACTAACGTAAAAAGCTACACGTAATGCAATATTATCAGCGATATCTTCATTTTGTGTTTTATCTCCATTTGCCTATAAAAAAATAATACGTTCAATGGAGAATTTCAAATAAAAAAACTAATTCTTACGTTGATATTAAGATTCGGTACAGTAAAATTATTATATTGATCAACAATACATGTTTTACGTTCAATAAATTTTTCTACTGTTTCATCTGTCCACCATGGAATTTTATTTCCATCTTTATCAAACTGTCGACCACTATCATCAAATCCATGAGCTATTTCATGTGCAATGACAACTCCAATACCTATAAACAAACATCAATCTTGAAGAATGAAAAAACAACCAAGAACAAATTGAAGAATATTTACCACCATAATTCAGATATCTAGAAGATTTAAAATTTACCAAGTATAGAAATAAAAAAGAAAAACGAATGGATTTACTTTGGGGCATCTTTATGAAAAAAAGGCATTTGTAAAATACCAGCTGGAATAGCTAAATATAGTAAAAACGATACAATTATATATTCACTGAATTAATAAAAAAGTAAATTTACTAATTTGATTTTTTGATGGACCATACCAAGCATTAACAGTAGTCGGTGGCGAATAATCCCATGCTTTGCGATCAACATGTTTTCGAAGAAGTTGAAATTCTTCTTTGGCTTTTATTTGAAGTAGTTTTAAAGTGTTATTCATAAAAGATGAACCGAAGACGTACTAAATAATTCGATACTACAATATGAAATTATCATTTTTAATACAGAATACATACATCAGCATATTGCATTTCTAATTGTGTAACATTATCGCTAGCTAAATAGTCTGGATATCCAATTTGTACATCAATAGCTAAAGCCTATTAAGTAAAACATTTTATTGAAATTTATTAGTAAAATAATTATTCTTAATTCTACTTTTTCTATGGCTTTATTCTTTGACATACTATCCATCCATGTTGAATTTTCAAGCATATCAATAAATGCTTTTATAATATTAGTAACCATTTCAAATACCTTAAAATAAAATTATTAAAAATATAATAAATATATAAATTTTGTTTTACTTGATTTCGAATATTATCATCAAAATATTTTTTTATATAAAGTTTTGATATAGCAAACCCCATGTGTTCATTTACAAAACTTCCACATATAGCTGTACGTGCTTGTTCATCAGTAGTGCCATGGAATACATGTTCAAAATTATCTCTAATGGTTCGAAATCGTTTCGGTAAAGTGTCAATTATATGCATCATAAACCGCCATATAACATAATTTTGTAATATACGTGGTGACACTTGTTCAATTATTGATGAAACATTATATAAATAATCCATTCCTTCTACAATGACAATATCACTATCCATGAGAGTTACATTAGCTGATGCATAAGCTGAAGTTAAATATTTAGTGAAGTCAAACTAGCGAAATAAGAAAATAATAGAAAAAAATAATAGATAAATTAATTTTAAAAAACGAACAGTTGTATTTAATTGTTGTCGTAGTTTTCCAACAGTTGTACGAATTCTTGCATTTGGTCTTTGTTGTTGTTCACCAGTTGTCCGATAACACTAATTGAAAAATAGAATATATCTTATTAATAAGTGTATGCAATTTCTAATCATTATTTGCACTCAAAATGAGTATCAAAAGTTTAGATTCTTTTCGTTTTAAATCTTTCTAAGACAAAAGCGTTTTGAGTTTGAGCATTTAAATTAGTATAAAGATCTTATGGAAAAATGACTAACAATCATTTTCTTCATGATATACGCAACAATATATTGAATACTTTTTAAAAGTACTTAAAAATCAAGATTTTATACATAAACAAAATATAAAATGAATTACTTTTCCAATTTGTTTTTCAAATTCATATATATCATTCACATCTTGTTCGATTGTTGATGTATCATTTGATAATATTGATGCTAAATCAAACATATATCGTCGATAAGCCACAGTAATTTTTGATTCACTCATATAATATTCTCGTTCACCTAATCCAAGATCACCTTGGCCGATCTAAAAGAATTTTTATAAATATATAAAATATTTCATAAACTTTATGAATTACTGTAAGAACATATTCTGTTGAGTTTGTATCATCAACTGATGTCCCAATACCAAATACAATATTATTTTGATATTTTCGTACTTTAAGTAAAAGATTTGATATATCAAAAGTTGAATCATCCGATGAATTTTGTCTAATAGGCCAACCACCAAATTCATTATTAATCAATGAAAGTATTAGACTAATACCTTCATCTTCAATATATTGTTCATTTATACACGAATGATATAAATTACGGGCATTTATTATTGCTTTAGGTTCGTTTGTATCATTAGGTGGCAACGATGTTAATATATCTTAATAGAGATAATATTTAAAAGGAAAATCATAAAGAAACTGAAAAACATACCAACTATATTATCGCTTAATTGTGTTTGCAAGAAATCAGTTGTAGTTGCTAGAAATAGAATTAAAAATATTTTATTGATTTATTTTAAATATTTTCTCATACAATCATCAGGTATTCGATTATTTTTAATATATGTTCCACAACCAAATTGATTAAAATCGACACATGGATCAACTGTTTCATCGATGCCTTCAATTAAATACTTTGCTAGAAATATATAATCAATAGTAATACAATTATCTTATTTTGAAGAGAACTTACCTGCTTTAAAACAATATGGAGTTACACATAACTCATTATTGACTAAATTAAAAACAAAAAATGATTTTCTTAAAACATAATTTTCAAAATATACTAATTGTTTTAGGTGTTGTTTTATTGTTCTCAGGTAATATAGCATATAAGACAATTTGTGAAAAAAAGATCACGAATAGAATACCTAGTACAATACGAAGTCTCTTTGAGCATATTCGAGACATTTAAGATCTCACAGATATGCTAATAGAAAAGATTATGGACTTAGTTAATAGATTTACTATGAAAACGCCGTGAGAAACAAATGTCGAAGGAAAGATTTCGTAAGAAAAGGCATCGGAAAAAATAGTCGAATCAAAAACACGAGCGAAAAACGGAAAACTTTATTGCGTTATCAGATGTCGTTAACAATCAAAGCAGCATCGCCGTCATCCTCATTATCCTCACTCTTCATCAATCATTATTATTTATTGATTGGATAATTTTTTCAGTCGATCTTTTTTTTCTCAACATTTAATTTTTCGGTGTTTTTATACATACCAATTGATAGATTAGATAATTTACACTTAATCCTTTTTGATGTTCCATCACTGAAACGAACAGCCGTACTTGCAATTGGAATTTAATTAAAATTAACATAAAATGATTATATTTTTCGTTGTTTTAGAAGAAACACTTGGATACTACGTGGACATCAGCAACCAAACTATTAAATCAGTCTAAAGGAAGAGAGAAACATGATTTACATTGCTTAATGTTATATACTTTGAATGAGAAATACTCTCTTCATCTTTTTCTATTTTCTTTTTTATACTAAAACGAAAGATAAAATCATATAGGTTTAATCATTTAGTATTACCCTCTTGTCTAACTATTCTATCATTAAAAAATAAAAAAAAAGTAAAAGATAAATATTCGTATTTGTAAATAGTAAAAAGGTGAAAACTTAAATGCAAATGTTAATGTTGATGAACTGATGAAAGAGATAGCGATATTTTTTAAAAAGTTTTCATATTAATTTAAATCAACATACATTTAGATACATATATTTATATTAAATTACAACTCAATAATTAATAGAAAGAAAAAATAATATAACCACAAATTAATGTAGTTAATGTTGAACAGATTATTCTGGAATTTATGTAAATGAAATTAATTAAATTTAAAAATTATTTAAGACTATTTTTTATATTTTCTAATTTTTCTATTATTTTAGTTGAAATAGAAGTTAACTCAAACATAAATAAGCATATTTCATTGCAAGAAACTGCCAATTCATTATACTGTTGTACTAAAAGGAAAATGTGATAATAGATTTTATTTCATTTAAAATATTTAACAAAAATAACCAAGTTAAAAATATTAACATAATAAATAACTATTCATGAAAAATTTTACAAAAGAATGGTCTTAACAGTTATAGTATATTTTATTTTAAGACCGAGTATGATAATAAGTAATTAACTAGAATTTGTTTCTATTTCACTTCTTTTATGTATAATTAGTTGAAACATTGTTACATTATAATAAAATATTTGTTTAATATCAAACAAGATATTTTATAGTCATCATGATAACTTTATTAAATAAACTACAAAATATATAATGTAGAAAATAGACTTTTCGGAGGTTTTCGCTATACTTCTCACTACATATCTGTAAATGATCCTTATAACTTTTTGAGGCCTGTTTATGGTTGAAGCCTAGATTTAGTACAGTCTCGTATTTTAGTCTTAACTAAATCAAACAGTGTAAGAAAATTGTCTCGAATACTATGCAGCTATTTGCGTAATTTTAACCTGCGTTTTATCCGTTGCGGAGAAATTGATCATACCTAACAGAGTTAGTGCAGTGAAGTCCTGTTACATTTTCTATTAAGCAAGTACTTGATTTTGCTAAATAAATATCATGTCGAAGAGGTTTTAAAGAACGAGTTCTTAGTTTATGACAGGCATTATCAAGATCTAATGAGTGACAAAAAATAGCGTGTGCGAGAGAAAGGTAAAAGAATACTTTACGTATAGTACAGTGGCCAAGAGCGTCTATTCAACTGTTCGAGTATCTCAATATTCACGTATTGGACGAAGTATCCATCTGTTCAATCTTTCTGTTACCTTTCTACTCACCGGGGGCTTTAAGCGTCCAAGTATTCGATTATCTAACTTTTCGACTGATCACATTTGCAAAGTTTTAGCTGTGGTTATTTATTATGATTATGAAATTAGTCCTTTCATCGTTACATTACGAGTGTAATCAAGAGATTATTGACTTCACACTCTTTTTCACGCTAAATCCTAAGCTCCGCAAAGTACTTAAAGTGGTGAAGTACATTATTTTCTTTTTATAGGTGCTAAAACGTATGAAGATGAGACGATCTTTTTCACCCTTACTATCACGAATAGTTGAAAACTATATCGAATCGATAAGTACTCGAACTAATCTTCGATCTTGACATCTACCCATCGAAAGATAAAAAATAACACCACACTTACTACTGGCTTACGGGATAATTTTCTTCTCTTCATGCAGGAGCACCAATAATTTTTTCTGAAAAAGAATATGTAACAATGAGAGCAAAAAATATTCCTTCCGACATTGACAATATCAGAACAATGATAAACAAGTTTTTTTGCCTAAAAGACTGAAATGAAAAGAAATAACTTTTTTGTTCAAAAAGGGGACTATAGAAATGAGAACAAGGAAAATATACCTGCCAATGAGAATGCAGAAATGATGACGGACAAGTTTTCTTGGGAAAAAAGTTTGAGAATGGGAATAAATAAACTTTTTTTCTGGAAGCAAAATGTAACGACGAGAACAGCAAATATTCCTTCCGATATTTAGAATGTAAGAACGATGATTGACAAGTGTTCTTTTGCGTAAGAGGCTGAACTAAAAAGAAGTAATTTTTTTCTGAGAGGAGAATATAGAAAAGAGTGAAAAAAAATTTTCCCAACAAGGAGAATATAACTATCATGGTTAAAAAGTTTTTTTCCGAGAAAAAGGTGCAACAACACAAACAAAAAACAATTTTTTCAGGAGGTAGAATGTAGGAATGAGAATAAGTTGTGTTCACAGACAATGCCTACATGTTTTGCTCATTTCTTTCAACCAAAAACACAAGGAGTTCTTTCAGGATCTTTGTCAAATTCTCAAGGATATAGAGCGGATATACCAACGAGGTGTCATGAGGGATGGACCATATCCCGCAACCGAGAGAAACTGTTCCGCTTTGAGCAAAAATTCTTAACCCTCACAAAGTCAACGGCATATCATTTTTCGATCGAAGTCGAAACAATTCGACGTTCAAACATTAATCCATATCTCTGCTCATGGGGAGATACGAAAAAAATATAAAGAGATATTGATCATTTTATTTTTTCACTCTAAGAAGATATTCCAGCAGAGATTGTTTTTTACCAGCAGCGATGAATTAATTATAATGTGGAATGATTCATTCATATCTTCACTCATAAGGAGAAATGAAAGAAACAAAAAGAGATATCAATCATTTTTATTTTTTCACTCTAAGAGGATATTCCAGCAGAGATTGTTTTTTACCAGCAGCAATGAATTAATTACAGTGTGAAATGATTTCTTTATCAAATTATGTGTTGTTTATTATTTGAACACTACGACAACTATTTTAATACAGTATGAACGATCTTGTTGTAATAAACAGTGTATATACATGGTGGTAGAAATCATCGAAAATCAATGAAAAATGCTGCCAAAAAATACGTTTGAACAAAAAACTAAGAAAGGATTATGTTAACATCTTTCAATTTCCGAATTTTTATGCATGTTGAATACTTTAATTCGGGAAAATGACGTTTCGTACCACCTTTCCATTTCGGACTGCGTGTATGCAATGTGATTGTTTATGTGTAGTTCTATCTGATCGATGATGAATTTTTTTCTGCTATCTGTTTAACCTGATTGTTAGTATCATTTTTCCATTAATCAATTTTATTAATAAATTCAGTAGTGTTTTGTTACACTTTCATATTCATATATGATGGTGGAGAAGTGAAAGAATTTTCTTTTTAAATTCATATATTCAAATGTTAAATTATTAACTTGTTCAATCAAATTTTATAGTTGTTCCAAAAAATGATAATTATAAAATAATCGATGATATGCGTAATGTTGATATAAACGACGATTATGTTATCTACATAAATTATTTGAATTTGTCATTATTTTAATCTATATAATTAATATAGAAGCAATAAAATAAAATCTTCAATATTTTTTCTCTTGCACCAACCAGTATTAAAGAAAAAGAATATACAATCATCTGAGAGTGATATCTATTTTAGTTAGTTAACAAAAGTTTTATTATTTTCAATATTGAATAATGAAAAATATTTATTTCAAACACAATTTCAACTTGATTCGTTTATTTGAAAAAAATACTCTTTTCTGTATTATTGTCATTTATCATAAATCAATTCACTTCTTCGATATATCTAGCATGATTTCAAAATGTCTCACAAATTATTAGAAAACTATAGTATTATGTAGGAAAATCAAAATTAAGTATTGTAATAAAATGTAGTTTTATTTCATATTATATATCATGACAAACAGAGAGATATATGATTTATTCAAATAAAAAATAAAAGTAGATTCATGTTAGTATATGTGACTAAATCATCGATATCAAAAATAAGTATATTTTCATTTATTTTGTTTAGATAGAAACAATTCAATCTATTATTTTAAATATTTCATTAATTATGATATTTTATTTTAGTTAAATATATACACAAGACTGCTCTTAGTCTTCATCAAATATAAACATCATCAATCTTTGTTTGAATAAAAATAAATACAATAGATTTGATTCCTCACAAATATTGATAATATTATTTGTTGATTTATTAAATATTCTCATTTTAATTCTGTATTTTATCATTCTTAAAATCTATTACATAGATTTAAATCATAACAACAACAATTTTAATCTTCTGATTATTTTCTTCAACATGAAACAATAACAAATTAAGTTAAACAACATGAAATGAATTATTACGACATTATTATTTAAGAAATGAAGACTTTAATTCTCATTCATTTTGCTATTACTATCATGATAAATTGCTCATGTCTAATGTGATAATGGCATTACTTTTCTCTTAGTCTTCTTCATCTCATGCATAAAAACATTTCAGAGTATCTATAATGAAATGGTAGTTTTTATTAAACAAATTAAGAATAAAACTCATTAGAAATTGAATGTATTTGATCTTCATTATTTTATAATAACAAAACAAAAAATCTTTTTTTTTTCTGCAGTATTATCACTGGTTAATTGGATAATGATATTATGAAATCAGATTTATAATAGTTAAATAAAATAATCAATTTATTTTTGTTAAATAATTACAATACAAATATAATAAGCACTACGAGGTCGTAGTTTTTTATTTGTGGGTGTGGGTGTAGCTAAATACAGGTGAATATCTATATTTACACTCACATTCACACACACCCTCAAACGTCTTTCTTTATTTTCCCTATTAATTTGTTTCGAACACCCAAAATCTTAATTGTTTTCATATTTCGACTCTTTTTACTTCGATATTTTTACTTTCGACCTTAGTTGGGAGAATCTATAAAAATATCCTTAAATATCATAATATGTTTCTTCTAACAACTATTCAACAACGACATACATCTTGAGATTGTTAATATCAATAGTATTATACGCATCGTAGCTGATGTGAAGCTGAAAGTAGTCAATGATTGTAACACTCATATTCATCTACAGATATATCTTCTCTATCATATTTTGTCAACTGTCTTAATAGCATAAGTCCTGCCTTCTTCATGTCAATCATTCATATGCTTAAAATTAGAAGAACGTAAAAAAGAAGAATACATAAAAAAAACGCATTTGTGGTTCTGTACAACGCAATTCTTTCTATTCTTTAAAATCAATAATAAATAAAAAAAAAAAGTAAAGAAGTATGGAGAACATTCTTTTTTCTGTTCTTCACAAAATAAATACAACGTCAATTCTTTTCTCCTATCTGAACTCCCTTTCATACATACATTGTGCGATTTGATCTACGCAAAAACAAAATTCTGTTGTATAAAGTGTTTTTGCGTTATTCTGATAATGTGTATTTGATGAAGTATATATACGAGATGCAAAACGTCGATCAGTACAACAATTTTCTCAACGTAACAAAACTTAATAATTTACACATTTTGTTTAAATCTACTGAATTAAATTGACAAACAATGTCATCAAATCAAAATCAACAAGCTGGTCAACAATGGAACAACCAGCAACAACGACAACAACAAGGGAAGAATTGTCAAAATGCTAACTGTCAACAAAATGAAGAATGTTGTCAAGGTGGTATTAATCAACAACGACAACAAGATCGTCAAGATCTAAATCGTCAACAAAACCAACAAAATAACCAAGGTTTAAATGCACAACGACAACAACAACAAAACCAACAAGCTGGTCAACAACTAAACAACCAGCAACAACAACGACAACAAGATCGTCAAGATCTAAATCGTCAACAAAATAATCAAGGTTTAAATGCACAACAACAAAATCAACAAGGTGGTCAACAAATAAACAACCAGCAACAACAACAAGATCGTCAAGGTAATGACGCTGAGCAAAATTTGAACGCCCAACGACAACAACAACAAGGTCAACAAAGTAATTGTGCTCAACAATTTAAACAAGCTGCTCAAATTGGAAATGCACAACAACAACAACATCCTCGACTCATTCACTAAATTAATAATTTTATAGCCTGATAAAAGACAGTCATTTTGTATATTTTTCTGTAATATTGATGTTTTTTTTGTATTTTTCATAGTTCTTAGAAATATGTGTGTATGAATTTGAAATAAAATAACTGAGAACGAAAACAATGTAAAATGATGTAATTATATGGAAAGTTATGGAGTTAATTATAATCACGAGAAGTCTCTGAAAAAAGTATTATTATAAACTGTTGAGGTGAATTATACATAGGGTAGTCAAAAAATTTTGGCAACAGCTCTCTAAAATTTTGTTCTAATTGGTTTTATTTCTCATGTTGGTCTATTCTAATAGTGTCATCTGTTATGTATTAAAATACCAATACGAAGTTTCATAAGTATTTATTATAGCAAAATTTTAACGAATTTATTGAGCACCTCTATTTTCATATGAAAAAACAGTGCATACGCTCGTATATAAAAACTCGTTCATTATTAGGCTTAACAGCTACACAAATTCATAATGAATTAACTGCTGTTTATGGACCAGATGTAGTTTCAGATAGTATAGTTGCTCGGTGGATTCAACGATTTTTAAATAAGCTAGAGTCCTTGGAAGATAATCCTCGGAGTGGTCGTCTGTTATCCGTCATCACTCAACAAAATACTGATGACGCTAAAGATTCGATGAATGATGATCCACATATTATTATGGATTATGTTACTGTCATCTTAGACACAGTTATCATATCATTCATCGTGGTGGATACTCGAAGATGTTAGTAAAAAATTTACATAAGAAAAAATCACCCTCAATAGAAGATAGCATAAATTTGCATTAAAAAATGCAGTAATACGTATGGAAAATATTGTTCTCCATTTTAATTATATTCAAGAAGAAAAAATCAAAGTTATGGCTCATTCACTATGATCACCTGACCTTGCACCTTCAGATTTTTGGTTGTTCAATTATTTGAAACGTGGCCTTAATGCATGCCCAGATGCAACAAGTTTAGCAAAATGTTATCCAGGGCGCTTCCTTCAATACGTATTCACGAATACCAAAAGGCATTCTAGAAATGCATTGAAAGGATGAGACTTTGTATAGAGCATCATGGGGACTACTCCGAACACTTACTGTAAAAAGATTAGCAAAATGTTTTTTCTATGAATAAATATTTGAAAGTGACAGAACTTTTTGACTACCCTATGTAGCCGTTTGTACAGGAGAAATATCACCCAAAAATATAGAGAGTTGAATACTTAAACTTTTTTTTTGTTTATAAGCACAAGGAATTTCTAATAAATAAGGATACTTGTTTCATATTTAGTTACTTTATTTTTGAGTATTGTTATTTATTACTTTATTCTGATTACAAGTCATGTTTTACTCTATGATAATTTCTTTTTTATTTTCAGTTATAACATTCATATGATTAGTAAAGTAATATTTGTGTAAGAAGGTTGTGAATTAATTAAGCTTAAATAATATAATAAATTTTACATGTTAATCTAAAAATGGATTTCACTCTTACCAATAAGGAAATATCTTCAAAGGATTGAAATTCAAGATCAATTTCAAGTAGAGCAAAATCTGTTAAAAAAAGCTGAGCATCTCACAATCCTGTTGGTGCAATTTGAAATGGAGTATATATCTATATGATTTTGATGTATCATATTATACTCTGAAGGTCGAACACATAAAAGAAAACATTGATTTCTTGAACAAATAACTGTTTTATTCTGGAATAGGCGAATAAAATTAAAACAAAAATCGTGAATATTAAAAGGTGATATATTTTTCTTTAACAATGCATATAATGTTAATATAAATATAAATAAATACTGATATTATTGCATTTAATAATTAAAAATCGAAGTGTTCATTTTAAAAATGTCTGTAAAAATACCATTACCATACAGTACATTTATTTACTCGACTATTTCCTTGACCTGGTTTACAATTGAATGCTCGATCAAATTCAACAAAATTTGATGTAGGACCATTGACTCTATAAAATAAAGACATATATAGATATATATATGAATCAAAATTATTATTAATGCAAATATTTGTACCTGAATTGTCCTAATGAATGAACATCGGATTCAACACCATCACGTGCATATGCATCGGTCATTTTTGCACACTGTGTATGTGCATAATTAATGAAAAACATTTGTGTTGGTGAATATTTTGAGAGACCTGGAAGTCTTTTGTCAGCATTTGGATTAGCTTGTATGGATTTTTGATAAGCCTTTAAAATGGAATAGATATATATCTTTTCAACTATATACAATTTAGTTAACTGACGTAAAAAGCGACACGTAATCCAATATTATCGGCAATATCTTCATTTTGTGTCTTATCTCCATTTGCCTAAAAAATAACATGTTCAATCAAGAATTTCAAATAAAAAAAGCTGATTCTTACGTTGATATTAAGATTTGGTACAGTGAAATTACTATATTGATCAACAATACATGCTTTACGCCCAATAAATTTTGCTATTGTTTCTTCTCTCCACCATGGAATTTTATTTCCATCTTTATCATATTGACGACCACTATCATCAAATCCATGAGTTATTTCATGTCCAATAACAGCTCCAATACCTATAAACAATAGGGAGAAACGTCTTTTGATCACCGAAAAAGGAGTGAAATGATCACTTAATTAGTTGTATGTGAAATGATCACCAAAAAAAGAGTGAAATGCTCACCTAATTAGAAAAACAGTTAAAAAATAATCAAACAGAGTTAGAAGGGGTGATCTGATACAACTTTTTTTTTAAAGACCTTTTTGTAAATGATTATACCTGGATGTGGTAAAAATGTGGGAACAAAGATTAGTATAGGTATGTAGAGAAATGTTTGGGCTATCGAATGGTATAGTTATAAAAAAATGATTTAAAATAGCTTAGTAAATTAGATTTTATTATTTATCAGTAAAATACATGGGGTTGTCGAATCATCCCATGCGGGGTAATTTGGCAAAGCTATTAGTTAGTCTCACTAAAACGACTGCTGAAATTTTACCAGAAGAGATTTTTAGAAATTAAACACCAAGCGATAGAGAAATATTTTTACTAGATGTTTTGTACTCAAAAAATTTTTCTATCGTGGAAAATAAAAAACTATTAGCAAAATAACATAAAAATTAAAATTCAGGTTCCAAATCACCCCTTCTTACTCTGTTTGATTATTTTTTAACTGTTTTTCTAATTAGGTGATCATTTCACTCCTTTTTCGGTGATCATTTCACATACAACTAATTAAGTGATCATTTCACTCTTTTTCGGTGATCAAAACACCCCTCGTCCTAAACAATGATCAATCTTAAGGAATGAACAAGCAATCAAAAACAAATTGAAAAATACTTACTACCATAATTCAAATATCTACAAGATTTAAAATTTATCAATTATATAAATAACAAAGAAAAATAAATGGATTTACTTTGGTGCATCTCTATCAAAAAAAGGCTTTTGTAAAATACCAGTCAGAATAGCTAAATATAGTAAAAACGATATAATTATATATTCACTGAACGAATAAAAAAGTAAATTTACTAATTTGATTTTTAAATACTGAATAGAAAGCATTAACCTCAGTCGGTATCAAAGAACCCCATGCTTTACGATCAACATGTTTTCGAAGAAGTTGAAATTCTTCTTTGGCTTTTATTTGAAGTAGTTTTAAATAATTATTAATAAGAGATGAATTGAAGACATACTAAATAATTCAATAATACAATATGCAATTATCATTTTCAATACATAACACATACATCAGCATATTGTATTTCTAACTCTGTAACATTATCACTAGCTAAATAGTCTGGATATCCAATTTGTTCGTCAATAACTAAAGCCTATTAAATAAATTTTCATTTAAATTTATTAGTAAAATAATTATTCTTAATTTTACTTTTTCTATGGCTTTAGTTTTTGACATAGTATCCATCCATGTTGAATCTTCAAGCATATCAATAAATGCTTTTCGAATATTAGCAATCATTTCAAATGTCTTTAAAGGAAATTATTAAAAAGAACATAATTATACAAATTTTGTTTTACTTGATTTCGAGCATTATCATCAAAATATTTTGTTATATAAAGTTTTGACACAGCAAATCCCATAATATCATTTACAAAACTTCCACAAATAACTGGACGTGCTTGTTCAGTAGTAGTTTCACGGAATACGTGGTCAAAATTGTCTTTAATGTTTTGAAATCGTTTCGGTAACTTGTCAATTATATGCATCATAAAACGCCATATAGCATAATTTTGTAATATACGTGGTGACACTTGTTCAATAATTGATGAAACACCATATAAATAATCGATATCTTCTATAATAACAATATCACTATCCATGAGAGTTACATTAGCTGATGCATAAGCTGAAGTTAAATAATCGGTGAAGTCAAACTAATGAAATAAGAAAATAATAGAAAAAAACAATAGATAAATTAGTTTTAAAAAACTAACACTTCTATGTAATTGGTGTCGTAGTTTTCCAACAGTTGTACGAATTCTTGCATTTGATCGTTGTTGTTGTTCACCAGTTGTCCGATAACACTAATTGAAAAATAGAATACATCTTATTAATATGTATATGCAACTTCTAATCATTATTTGTACTCATAATGAATGTCAAAATTTTAGATTTTTGCTATCAAATCTTTCTAACACAAAAACCTTTAGAGCTTGAATAATTAAAGTACTATAAAGATCGTATGGAAAAATGACTAACAATCATTTTCTTCATGTAATATAACAATAGATTGAATAATCTTTAAAAGCACTCAAAACTCAAGATTTTATACATAAAAAAAAATATAAAATGAATTACTTTTGCAAGTTCTTTTTCTAATTTATACATATCATTCACATCTTGTTTGATTGTGTATGTATCATTTGATAATAATGATGCTAAATCAAACATATATCGTTGATAAGCCACAATAATTTTTGATTCATTCATATAATCTTCTCGTTGACCTAAACCAAGATCACCTGCACTAATCTAAAAGAATTTTTATAAATATATAATATGTTTCATAGATTTTATGAATTACTTTAAGAATATATTCTGTCGAATTCTTATCATTAATTGATGTACCAATACTAAATATAATATTATTATTACTATATTTTTGTAATTTAAATAAAAGATTTAATAAATCAAAAGTTGAATTATCCCATGATCTTTGTATAATAGGCCAACCACCAAATTCATTATTAATCAATGAAAGTATTGGATCAATACCTTCATCTTCGATATGCTGTTCATTTATACATGAATGATATAAATTACGAGCATTGATTATTGCTTTTGGCTCGTTTGTATCATTAGTTGATGATAATGTTAATATATCTTAATAGAAATAATATTTAGAAGGATAATTATGGAGAAACTAAAAAACATACCAACTATATTATCATCTAATTTTGTCTGCAGTAAATCGAGTGTAGTTGCTAGAAACAGAATTAAAAACATTTAATTGTTTTATCTTCAATATTTTGCGTACAATCATGAGGTGTTCGATTATTTTTAATCAATTTTGCACAAACAAATTGATAAAAATCTTCACATGGATCAACTGTTTCATCAATGCCTTCAATTAAATACTTTGCTAGAAATATATAATACATAGTAATATAACTATCTTATTTTGAAGAGAACCTACCTGCTTTAAAACAATATGGAGTTACACATGACTCGTTATTCACTAAATTCAAAACAAAAAATAATTTTCTTAAATCAAAATTTAAAAATTTACTAATTGTTTTAGGTGTTGTTTTATTGTTCTCGGGTAATATAGCATATAAGACAATTTGTGAAAGAAAGATCACGAATAGAATACCTAGTACTATACGACGTCTCTCTGAGCGAATTCGAGACATTGTAGGTTCCGCAGGTATGCTAATAGAGAAAATTATGGGCTTAGTTAATAGATTTACTATGAAAACGCCGTGAGAAACAAATGTCGAAGGAAAAAGTTGCGTAAGACAAAAAACGCCGGAGAAAATGATCGAATCAAAAAACGGAAATTGTATTACGTTTTAAGATGTCGTTACAATCAACGCAGCATTACCGTCATCCTCATTCTTATCCTCACTCTTCATCAATCATTATTATTTATTGATTGGATAATTTTTCCAGTCACTCTTTTTTTTTCAACATTTAATTTTTCGGTGTTTTTATACATACCAGTTGATATATTGAATAATCTACACCTAAACCTTTCTGATGTTCCATCACTGAAACAAACAGCTGTGCTTGCAATTGGAAGTTGATTGAAATTAACATAAAATTATTATATTTTTCGTTGTTTTAGAAGAAACACTTGCATACGACGTGGACATCAGCAAGTAAACTATTAAGTCAATCTAAACGAAGAGAGATACATGATTTATATTGCTTAGTGTTGTATATTTTGAAAGAGGAATACTCCTATCATCTTTTGCTATTTTCTTCTTTTATGATAAAACGAAAGGTAAGATCATACAGGTTTAATCATCTAGTATGTCCACATTGCCTTTCGATTTTATCATTACAAAATAAGAGAAAGGTGAGAGACACATATTCATATTTGAAAATAGTAAAAAAGGTGAAAACCATCTACATGCCACTCAATTATTGACTGATTCAACTGTTCGAGTATTTCACTTTTCACGTATTTGACGAAGTATTCATCTGTTCAATCTTTCCATTATCGTTCCACTCACCGGGGGCTTTAATCATCGAAGTATTCGATGATCTAACATTTCTACTGATTACATTTGCAAAGTTTTAGTTGTGGTTATTTATTATGATTATGAAATTATTCCTTTCATCGTTATGTTACGAGTGTAGTCAAGAGATTATTGGCTTCACACTCTCTTTTGCGCTAAATTCTAAACTCCGCAAAATACTTAATGTGGTTTAGTAGATTATTTCTTTTCTACTGGCATCAAAACATATGAAGGCGAGATTATTTAGTTCACCATTACTATCACGACTAGTTAAAAACTATATCGAATCGATGAGTACTCGAACTCATCTTCGGTCTTTACATCTATCCATCGAAAGACAAAAAATAACACCACACTTACTACTTACTACTGACCTATGAAATAATTTCCTTCTCTTCATACAGGAGCAACAATATTTTTTTCTGAAAAAGAAAATGTAACAATGAGAGCAAAAAAGATTCCTTCCAATATTGAGAATGTTAGAACGATGGTAGACAAGTTTTTTGTGCGCAAAAGACTGAAATAAACAGAAAGAAGTTTTTTCAAAAAGGGGAGTATAGCAACGAGAGCAAGAAAAATGCATTTACCAATGGCAATGCAGAAATGATGACGGGCAAGTTTTTTTACGGGTAAGAATTTGAAGATGAAAGTAAATAAGTTTTTTTTTAAAAAGAAAATGTAACAACGAGACCAGAAAATATTCGTTTCAATAATGGGAATTCAAGAACGATGATAGACAAGTTTTCTTTTGCGTAAAAGACTGAAATAAAAAAAAATAAGTTATTTTTCTTTTTCTGGAAGGAGGATGTAGAAATGAGTGAAAAAAATTTTTCCAACAAGGAGAATATAAATATCATGATTGAGAAGTTTTTTTCCAGGAAAAAAAAGTGCAACAACTCAAACAAAAAACAATTTTTTTAGGAGGTAGAATGTAGGAATGAGAATAAGTTGTGTTCATAGACAATGCCTGCATTTTTTGCTCATTTCTTTCAACCAAAAACATAAGGAATCCTTGTGGGATCTTTGTCAAACATCATATTAATGTTTGATAGTATGAAATTAATGATGAAGAAAATAAGCTTTATGAAATTTTGTACATAGACCATGCTTTAAACATTATGCATACGCATGAAAAAAAACTAGTCTTAATACGGATGAGAATAAGATCGAGGAAATTTTTTTTTTTTATTTATTTAGGCAGTAATAAGACTGACGACCTTCAAGGTCCTTACAGTACACAAGTGGAGATTGAAGAGAAAGTGAGAAAGAAAGAAAAAGTAATATAAATATGTATAAGTGTAACATTTGACAGAGTAAGAGAGGTAAGAAGAAAAAGGATCAAGACAATGAGGAGAGAAAACAACAAAATGAAGTAGATAGTGTACAACAGCCACAATAGCATTAAACGATAACAGTGAGTTGAAAGAAAGACTAGTAATCAATCTTCGGCTCCGAGTGGAGATGAAGACTCAAAAACTCACAGGATACATGTATTATGATGTTATGAGAGTAACTAACAGGAAAAGGTCATTCAAAAATTTGATTAGATTCTGTTAATTGATAAATATAAAAGATTATTGAATTGATAGGATTTCTATATAATATGCACATGTATTATAAATAGATGTTTAATATATGTATTCATTGAACTATTATCGATATTTGAAATTGGTGAAAAGAATTAATATTTATTTTATTTTCGAACTATTAGAATGTAGTTAAAAAATTGAAATACAGTAATAAATAATTCTTAAAAAAATGTTTCTCTGATATAATTTTTATTTTATTTATTAGATTTTATTATATATGAAATGTGTGAATATCTTGTTAGGCAGATAAATATAATTTATTCATTCATTTTCATAGTTGAAAAACTAATCTTTCTTGTCTACTCTTCAAAATATTTCATATTTAATTAATAAGAAATCTTCGTAGAATATATCTTATGAATAAAATTCATAAATTTTATCTCACACATTTATGAAAGAACACCTTGCTTTTGAATATTTATTTTTATTTATTATTAATACCGAAAAGATTTTTATTAGTAAAGATTATAATTTTTAATACTAAAAAGAAAAATAAAATAAATCTTTTTTTAACAATTGATTCTTTGTTATTTTATAGAATATTCAAATGAATTTGAACAGCATATATTTCAAAGTATTTTCTTTTTCAATAATTCTAATTAATAGAAAAACAATAACATTAATTTTGTCACTTCTTTTGTTTTTTGTATAATTTTCAAAACTAATTTATTTACCGACAACCAACAAAATTTTGCCTTGGTAGATTTCTATTTTACATTAACTATTGATAGATTATAATAATTATTAATTTTTTATCATGTTTAATATTGATCACAATTTATTATATACATTTTCGAATGTAAAAGAAACAACAACTTGTTCATAACTGACTAGCAAAATACGTTAATCAACACATTTCATAAAAATACATCATTAAAATAATGTTATTTGTGTATATCTTTGTTCTACTTAATTTAAAATGCTTTTTAGTTTGTTTATTTTTGTTTTAATGCACTTTTTAATACAAGATTTTTATTATAAAAATTCTATGATTTTCAGAGATGAATGATAAATGGAATATTATTTTTAATATAGACATCATTATTCGATGACGATAGGACTTATTTTTTTATATCGACAAATCATTTCTACAAACTTTATGATTTAATTATTATCAAATCTGAATTTATATTGAAAAAACTTTTAAAGTTTTGTTTTCAATCATAGTAACTAAAATATTTATGACAATTCTTAGGGATTTGAATAAATATCTTTATAAAACAATAAAGATATTAAATATGAATTAGACCTGCTCATAACGAAGATACACTATGATGTTTCAGTTTAATAAACTTTTTTTTTCTAATTATTTTATCAATAACTGAGTAATTCGTTTTCTTTTCTTGTTAATTCTTCTTTAGATTGGTAATGAATATCTAGATAGAAGTATAGAATTAATAAAAATTTCTTAATTTACTTTTTGTGGCTGGATTTACAATATGAATTTGTCACTCAAACCGAATTGATAATGTTAGTTGTATTATTTATCTATAATATCGTTAAATACATGTACATCTGTCCAGAATATAATGAATGCTATTTTGATACTTTGATCTGAAAGAGTACATGACTTTTTAACAGTATATGTTTCAATAAGACAATCTTTTAAATCACCCAACTCAGTTTCTCGAGAGTCTAGATCATAATCAGAACTATTTTGATCATTATTCATCTTTTCGATTTTCGAATGCATTCTATACTCGTGTATGATATTGGTCTATCAATTGATAAATTTGGTTACATTTATATATATCGACGTAGTTCAAATTTATATAAAAAGATACCTTTATTATTACAATTATTGATTGAAGTGTTTATAGAAACTTGAAATATCTTATCATACTGTTCTAGAAAAAATAAGTTAAAATACATGAGAGTTATATTTCAATTGATTCAATTTATTTATTTTATCAAGAAAACAAAATTAAGATAATTGAGGAACACCAGTAATTGTCAATGGAACGAGATCGGGATAGGCACCTGTTAACCATGAAATATAAATCATTTCATTGCCGATAAGCATAGGACAGAAAGATTTTACTATTTTGCTGTCAGTTCTCGCAACATCCATTTGTCGAAGGATTTTACCCGTATCAGCATGTACAGCAATAAGCATGAGTTTGAAAGGTGCTTTTGTTGATTTCACAAATACGTAAAGAACTCGTGATTGTTCGTTGAATGCAGTACATTCTGCAGCAAGATCAAGATTATCCATGTCGCTTTTTGTCACCACTTCGGTTTGCCAACGACGATTGCCAGTATTCGTATCAAGAGCAATAGCATAGGGTAAATTGACAAAATAAGTAATGCCATTTTGAGCATCGAGCATTGGTGGTGTACAATCGGTATTCATTGTATTATTATTATCATCTTTCCATTGCCAACGTTCATGTAATCCTGTATTTTCAACGTTCCAAGCAGAGACGATAAGAGGCCAATCATGATCAGACATATTTTGCCATGCTCGTACTACTATTTGTCGTCGACTATCAAGTGCAAAATCTCGATTACCACCTGAATTCGTATCATTAATAAATAGACGAGTACCATTTGAATCCATCTTTCCCATAACATCATCACCACCAATCCAATAAATATCACCAGTAAATGGATCAGCTTTATAATCGGCGGATGGGTCAGAACCCATTGTTTCTGAATCACTCCAGAGCATCTCAAATGTTGTTGTATTGAAAGCAGCTGGAGCATTTTCAATTACAGATGTTATCAGAAGATCTGCTTTTGTGCTTAATGCAAGTGGTGCCAAGAAATTTGAACTGATTTTATAGGTATTCACACATTCTTGAGCAGGATGATGAGTTTGAGGATAAAAGACTCGACATATTTTCGATACAAATGATCCAGTATCGGCCCAAGTTGATGTGTAATAAAGAAGATTATTTTCTTGGTCTGACACAATGTTCGACACTGCAGTATTCATCATACGTGGTGGCGATTCAAGATACATCTTCCAACGGATATCTCCATTTGTAGTAAGACAGAGCATATAATCGGCTAAATATCAATGAAATCAAATAATGAATAAAACACAAGAAATATATTACCAGAACCATATCGTGAATCAGTTACAAAAAGATAGAGATCACCGTTGATACCAGCACCAGCACCGAATACTGTTGTATCTTGTGAAGATGAATTGAAGATTGTTGTCCAAGTGCTACCATTGAATTCAGTGGCCAACGATGGAATCAAACGACGAGTATTACGTGCATTACCCATTGCAGTGGTCCAGGAAAGTTCATCGTTATTATCATTTACTGTCGCTTTTACTTCAGTGATTAACACTAATACAAATATAAGAACAAAGCTAAAACGTTGCATTATTTTCTTTGCTTTCTTTTCTACGCTTCAGCTACGAATGTAACGCATACACCATCATTTTATTTGAAGATTATATGACATGTGTTTAGATTCTCACATTTAATACCGGGCAAAGTGCAATATCAATAGCACTATGGTACGTTAAAATCTGTTTTGACTTAAAAGTGCACTGAAAACAAAAACAACCATAGAATGATGAATCCTTCAAGGATTTATCAGAGTGCAACGTGCAATACACTTATTTTCTCACCATATATCGCGATTTACATATCTTTCAATTTTTTTATAAGAGGATTTATAAGATGGCTAGGCAACTAAAATATTTTCTTATCTATGAATAATCTGTATATCGTAACTATATTCTTATTAAAAAAATACTTCATATCTGAAAGTGTAAATTGAAACGAATAATTTTTTTTCACTATCTCATTTACTTGTTTCTCTTGAATTTACTTCTTGAAAAACCACTCTGTCTATAATCTTTCCATTTAAGGGTGTAAATATTTTAATCTGATATTGTTATATGAATGAAAAAAAATTATACAAATTTATAACATGTATTTTTTTCATCGTTAATATTTATTACGGTCTGTCATATAATGATTTATATATGAATGATAGTGAATGATTACAGATCTGCGAAATATAATAATTCATTAATTTATTATTAATAAATTAATGAATTATTATTTATGAGAATATCTTTTTTTTTTTATAAAAGATTAAAATCTATTTTCACATCTATATTATCAGATATTGTTTGCGATTCAATATACTGAAGCAACAGAGCGTAATCACGAAGCCTTATGAAAAGCTAAGTCTTAGTAGTTTGAAAATAATATCGATATTACTATAGAAATCATATCAATTAATAGAATCTATGAATATTTCTGATTGTCTTTTTTTTCTGTTTATCAGTTCGATAAAATCGCAATGATAATAAGCCCTTATAAATGAACGTAAGAAAAAAAAATAAACGCATTAATAAACGAGCGTATTCTGCTCTCTTTCAACACTTCTTCTCATGTTCAATCAAAAATATTTTTCAATAGATTATTCATTCTAACATTTTATACTTTGAAGAATGCCAATATCAAACATTAGTTCAAGTAATATCATTAAATTCGTATATGATGATGGGATTGCTATACCTTATATTGTTCGATTTTGGATTTTTCTTATTTCAAATATTTTATCACTTATTTGTTGTCTTTTCGTTCTTTATCAATTCCTTTTTGATTCAAATCTTCGGCGTGGTTTACATAATCATGTTATAATTGTTGTTCTTTTTATGTGTCTTATTATGGAATTAACAACTATTCCTTGGAAAATGTATCTTTATCTATATGGAGTTGCTTGGATACAAACACCAACATTTTGTATGATTTGGAAGTTCTTAGATTCAACTTTATATACGACAACAGCAAAACTTGTTGGATGGGCATCCGTCGAAAGACATATTCTTATATTTCATGATCAATGGGTTTCAACAAAGAAAAAACAATTTTTCATTCATTATCTCCCATTAATATTTATTGTTCTATATGGTATAGTAGTTTATGGAACTATTACTCCTATGAATGGTTGTAATAGATCATTCTATTACTTCATAACTTTCTGGGGTTATTCTAGTTGGGTATATAATAGTCTTGCATTTGGTCTGTATGAATTTATGACTGGTGCAATATTATGTTCTATTCTTATTGGATTTGGTAGTATTTTTCTTGTTTTACGTGTAATTCTTCGAAAGCGACATTTACAACAACAAATACAATGGCGAAAACATCGTAAAATGATACTTCAACTATTGTCTGTCTCATCACTTTTCTTTGTTTTATATTTACCTCCTGTAATGTTAGCTGTTGCTCACAAAGTTGGCGTTCCATCTTATGTTGGAGCTCAATACAATACATATGCTTCATTATTCTCTTATTATATTGCATTTCTTTTTCCATTTACATGTTTGAGTACAATACCAGAACTTGGTACTCGAATAAAAAATATTTTTCGATGTCGATGGAGACAACAAATGCGGTCTGTAGCTCCTCAAAAATAAATTACAAAGTCCGGAATGATTAGCCAAATAAATAAACAGAAAACGATTGTATTTGCATTGTTTGCGAAGAAAATAAATAAACAAGTTTATATTCAAATAAAATTTATTTAAAAAAAAATAAGAAAAAAAATTATTCCAAAGAATTAGATAATCGAGAAAATGCTCTATTTTGAATTGCATTTGTTTGTATTTTACATTCATGTATTTTCATCTTTAATTGTCGACTTGTCTTGATACTATCAATTTGTTTTTGAATTGTTGGTATGCCTGTAAATTCATTAATTATTTGATAAACTTGATTGAGTGAAAGTTTTTCATTTGTCTCCGATAATTGTTGACTATTTAATTGACGTTTTTGTTTTATTGATTGTAATACTTCACGAACTTTTCTATTCATATTCGAATCAATATGTTGAATTTGAGAAATCTGTAATTCTTCTTCAAGAAATCGTTCAATTATACATTGAAATGGATCATCATCATGAGTTAGTAATCCTTGTTGTCTTAGATAATGAATTAATCTATCACATTTCAATAGAAAATTATTAAAAGAACTTTGCCATCGTTCATTTTTAAGACCAGCTGGTTCATCAATAAATTCATGCTGTACCATAGCTTCAACTAAAAAATGTTTACCATTTGAAGAACAAACATGATGTTGATTAACATAATTTCCTAAAGCAACACGTTGATATTCAGTTATCCAAAATGGACCTACTTCTACCGCATTACTTTGTGCACAACATGTGCACATTTCAAAATCGATTGGATTCGAATTTAATATAATCTGATTAAAAAACAATTTTGCTTCATTTAATTTCCAATTATAGATTATTAAACGTAATGTTTCGATGATAGGTCGAGCAAGCATTGATATATCAATCATAGCTTTTCTTGGTGATAACCATTTAAGATAATATGGTTGACGTGTTTGTATATAATTAAGTAAACGAATTGATTCAGTCACTGATGTATTCCAACTATCAGTATATTCTTTTTCTTGATCATGATCAAAATTAATATGACGTTTTCTTGCAGCTAAATATCGAAATGATTCACTATCGAAACAAAATGTATTTGTTTTTTGAAATGGAATATTAAAATTTCCATCGACAAGCATTTTTTGAAGTAATGGACCAGTATCACCAGGTGCATAAAATGTTGCACGAGAATTTGTAAAACAAAATATAATATTTTTATAACCAGCCGGTGATATATATGTTAATAATTGATTAATACATGAACGAAAGAAAATATTTAATCGAGAAGTATTTGGTTTAAGTAATAAACATATAGCATTTACATGAGATAAATTACTAATATATGTCAATATATGATCGATATTCTTTGTATCTTGATCTATTCCTCGTGTGTCACCGATACCCGGTGTATCGATCAAACGTAAAGAATATTTATCGTTTAAATCAAATAGATAGGATTTACATTGTTGAGTAACCGATTGACCGTGACGTTCATAGCTTTCATTAGGATCTATATCACCAAAGTCAACAACAACTTCATCAAATTGATCACCAACTGTAAGTAGAAATGAAACTGGTATTAATACAATTGGTTGACCACGTTCAGCTTGATGTAGAGTATCGAATTTTAAATAATTAATAAATGCATTGATAAATGTTGATTTACCAACGCCTGTTTCTCCTAAGAGTAATACATTGAGTTCAGTCTTTGGTGATGTTGAATAAGAAATATTAGGTAATGTTGTTGGAAATGGTGGTGGTGTTATAGATCTACGTTCTTGCTCTTGTGAAGGTAATGGTTGTTTTGGAACTGACGTTGTTCGTGGCGGTTGTGGTCTTATATCTAAAACAGAGTTGCTTAGTCAATTTTTATAAAATTCGTGTCTCATTGGGTTTAGCGAAATCTAATATCTTACCTGTAAGAGAATCAAGTTGTGTTTCTGATCTTCCTTTTGGTGGTAATTGTACCACAGTAAAACCATCTAATCGTTCCTGACAATTCGTAAAATCAACATAGATTAATTTAATTGCTTGATGTCGTTGCGAAGTTATTTGTTGATATATTTGTTCCCATCTATCGGGTTGCTCACGTTTTAATCGATCACTAGAATACCAAAGAATGACACTGTGTTTGTCATTAGAACACGAACGTTTGATTATAATATCAATATCTTCATTTTTGAATGATGACATTTCATTAGGACGAAGATCAAATGCATTTAAATATTCAATATGATTTTTCGTTAATTTTTCGATTAATATTGCTTTTGCTAATAATCGTTCAATCGTAATTTGAAATGTATCAATTTCATCCTTATGTAAACATCCATAGCGTTCATCTGAAATAATTTGATCTAATTCTTGCGGATCTCTACGATTACGGCGAACATCTGGAATTACTTTTCGTAGACGTTCATTGAGATTTTCTTGAGCATCAAGTAATACGCTATATTTTTGTCGAACTACTTTTAATTGTTCATTAAGTACTGGACTTAAATAATTTGTTGGAAGATCTATGAATAATTGATGTAAATGTTTTAATTGATTTTCTATACGTTTACTCATTGGTTCAATTCGATCAAGATGTACATTGGCATGATCTGGTTTAAAACATGGTTCTTGAAATTGTATATTATTATAAAGCCATCTTAATGGTTGCATTATATATAAAATTGGTTGATGAAAATTTTCATTTGTTTGCCATTCTTGTATTCGATTAAGAATAGTTAATAATGATGTATTTGGATCATCAACACATAATTCAGATCCGTATATAGTCATATTATTTAATTGATTTATTAAACGTCGATCATCATTTGTAAGTTGAACTGGAACTTCGTTTCGTTGAAGTTGATGAGAGATACGAGAAAGTAATTGATCAATTGCTTCTATAGATTGATTTTTTGATATTTGTATAACACATAAAATTTCAATACCCCATTTAATTTTAGTAATCATATGAGTTGCCTCCGTTGGACCTTGTGGTGGTGCAACAATTCGATCTGCCTTTCGAGCTTTAATATTTAATGTTTCTTTTCTGGTTTTGTAACAGTAATATAAAAATCGTGTATTTGCATTAATAGGTTGTCTGTACTCAATAAAACGACCAATACCTGATGGTACAACCATCTGAAGACGAATACTTCGTTGAACTCCATCGTCAAAACCGATATTACCTAGAAAACTGGTCGGTTCTCTAGATTGATCACCTGAAAATACTCGACATATCGAACGTTTATTTGGCGGTTTTATCTCTGACGGTTGAACAGAATGTCGATCAATTAAACTATCAGTTGCAGTATTATAAAGTGAACCTAATCGACCGGACGCATCAATCACTTTTCGTTCAGTTGGATATCCATCATTAAATTTAAAAGGGCCTATACATGACATTCTACAAAACAAAAGAAGACTTATTCAAAGTACTGAAAAAATAGTTCATCATTTTCTAAGATTGTTTCGTAATAGTACTAATAAAAGAACTTATTTTGTGTAGAAGAATTTCTCTCCTTCTTACACTTCGTTGTTTCATTTCTATATGTACAAGCTTCAAGGTAAAATCTCATTGTAGTCAAACGAATAAAAAAAAACCTCCTTGAAAAATGTATTAAACCTAAGAATCGACTGCTCTTATTCGTCCCAGAACTAGAAGTCTAATCAAATTTTTTTATTGTAATACTGTCAAAAATCAATAGATAAAACATACTTGCAATTATCACGATATTTTTTCTTTTGTTCTTATGACAATCGATATTTTATTCCTAAAAACGAATGATGAATTTCTATTATTTACTGTCTGTGATGGTGAGAATGTATATAAAAAGAACAGAGAGAAAGAAACGAAATATACTTCAATTGAAGTATCATGTCGATGACGATAAAATGAAGGTCGTTCTCTTTTATGTCTCATTGATTCATTCATTTTATTTCTTATTCAAACAAATATAAATATTATATAATGACAGTTTTTTTTAACATTTACACAGGAGAGAAGAGTTAATCTACTGAATCGAACTATGTGGTTAATTACTTCTCGCTAAAAAATCAATGAATCAGAAAAATAAACTCTAATTTAATTATTTCACAAAAGAAGAACACTTGATAATTTATTATCAAAGTCTCGCTTTATAGACACTTACCTTATCTTAAATAATGATGAATATTATCCAAATATATTGATCTGAAAAAAAAAATTTTTTTGGTCATTTCTAATATAATTTTTACTAAAAAACCTTGCTTATGATAATTGAACATATTATTTTTAAGCTCGATTAATTTTCAACCTTCCTACTTGAATATTCGATTATTTACAGTTAAATTAATGAAATCTTACAAGATGTATGAAAAAATTTCCTCCGCTTGAATGCCATTTAAAACATTCATCAAAATTGCTGTTATACGATCATTTAATGATAAAAAAATCTTCTGAATCATATAATAGTCGAGTGAATAAATATAAATGTATTCTTTTATTTATTTTGATAAAAAGAAGTTGAATGTTATTTTTAGTTTTAACAAAAAAAAGATAATAAAATCAATATTTTCAAATATTAATAACATGGAATATTTTATTGTGATATTTGTTCGATATTAGTTAGAAATAAAATAGTCACTCACTTTCTATGACGTATAATAAAGAACTGAAAGCATTCTTTTTTTTTGTTCTTCCTTTCTGTGATTCTTACTAATTCATGTGAATAATAATAAAATGGAGAAAACCAAGTATGCGTACGTCTTACTCACCTTTTGTTATTTTTTTTCCAGCACAATCAACAAAAAGGTAAATTGTAAGTGTCAATAGTGAATAATAACATATGCCGTGTTGAAAAGTAACTAATAATAAGAATTTAATATCTTAAACGAATAAATAAAACATAGTTTTAATAAGTTAACGATTTATATGAAAAAAAAGCTAATATACGTTTGATAAGTGTGTGAAAAATATAGCGACTGTCTATCGCTTATT